GCCAAGATTTTCGTATTTAGCCTCCCAGTTCCCAAGTCAATGGGAGCTGTGGGTGCTCAACACCTCTGAAAATCCTGCCACTTTTAATGAGCTGTTGAATAACTTGATTTTTAGAAGCAGTGACTACCAGCAGCTGCTGTTGACGTTAATGGCAGTTGTGGGTCCTGAATACCTCTCAAAATCAGGCCTTATGTATGCTTAACTTTTGGCATCCAGGTGAGAAAATGTTGGCCTAAGTTTATTCATTTGACTGAGGTTTTCAAAATAAAAAGTGATCAGTACCTTCCATTTAGCCCTTCCCATAAAAGGTAAGCAAAGGAACACTTGGAGAAATTAAAGAGCAAAACATTTAGAAAAGGCAGGGATGAGGCTGCTTTAGGAGCCAGCTAGTCAAGCTATGTAATCCATGACCTGGGTGAGGTGGTCAAGACTTTGCTTATACCAGTGAATTCAGGCAGACCTTCAAAGGGAAAATTTCAAAGACTAAGGCTAGGTCTACACTGGGGGGGGGGTCGATTTAAGATACGCAAACTCAGCTACGAAAATAGCGTAGCTGAATTCGACGTATCCGAGCCGACTTACCCCGCTGTGAGGATGGCGGCAAATTGACCGCCGCAGCTCCCCCGTCGACGGCACTTACTCCTACCTGGGCTGGTGGAGTACGCGCGTCGATTTGGGGATCGATTGTCGCGTCCCGACGAGACGCGATAATTCGATCCCCGAGAGACCGATTTCTACCCACCGATCCAGGCGGGTAGTGAAGACAAGCCCACAGAGAAGAGTTAGGTGCCTACCTGCCACTGATATCTTATGGGAACTGGGTACCAAGCTCTCCTGTGTGCCTTTGAAAATCTCCAATCTTAATAATCTAAAATGTATCCAGGTTCTCCAGTCAATCTCCTTATTTTCTTCTTACATGCATTTCTAATGCTGTTTGTAGACAATTCAATTGTGATTTTTTTAATTTGTATACCACTGAGAATACCATACAAGACTTTATAAATAGCCAGTAAGTTTATCTGCCTGTCGCTTGGTTTTCATTATGCCAGATGACAAACTTTCTCAGATATTATGAAAAGATATCATGTGATTGTTTCAAAACAGGGGAAAAAAATACTTGTCGGCGTTGTACTTAGCCTTATAGTGTGTGTAACCTCAATAATGTCAGCACAATCTCCATCATTTTTCCTCACTGAGGTCCAGGAAGAATTATCTCTATAGTTTTTGTGTGCTTCTTGCTATCCATTCCATTGTAGACAGTAAAAAGAAGAACAGGAGTACTTGTGACACCTTAGAGACTAACAAATTTATTAGAGCATAAGCTTTCGGAAGTGGGCTGTAGTCC